CCATTTGTATGTCAGGGATAAATATTGATCTTCTACCCAAGGCCCCATAGATTGTCTAGGCCTCCTCACTGACACCCACTTTCAGGGGGTCTGGATCAGTCCCATGCTGGATTCCCAGCCATCAGTCTGGGCTTCAAGAGCTCCCCCTTGTTCAGGTCAGCTGTTTCTGTGGGTTAAAAAAGTCCAGACTTGACCCCTATGCTCACCTGTCCTCCCTCTCTGACACTGGGTTCCTTGAGTTCAGCTCAGTGTTTAGCTGTGGATATCTGTCTCTGCTTCTATCAGTCATTGGTTGAAGGTTCTGTTTCCCAGACTTTGTGGCAGTGGATTGTAGGCTGAAACTCCCCTGATCCATGTCTAAAATCCATATATGAGTGAGTACATACCATGTTTCTCTTTTTGTGACTGGGTTACCTCACTCAGGATGGTTTCTTCTAGTGCCATCCATTTGCCTGCAAATTTCAAGAGTCATTGTTTTTTTTTTCCACTGAATAGTACTCCATTGTGTAAATGCACCACATTTTCTCTCTCCACTCTTCAGTTGAGGGGCATCTAGGTTGCTTCCAGGTAGGGGCTATTATAAGTAATGCTGATATGAACAGAGTGGAACAGTCGTCCTTGTTGTATAAATATGTATCTTTTGGGTATATGCCTAAGAGTGGAATTGCTGGGTCTTGTGGTAGGCTGATTCCCATTTTCCTGAGAAATTACCATACTGATTTCCAAAGTGGCTGTACAAGTTTGCACTCCCACCAGCAATGGACAAGTGTTCCCCTCTCTGCACATCCTCTTCAGCATGAACTGTCATTGGTGTTTTTGATTTTAGCCATTCTGACAGGATTAAGATGGTATCTCAGAGTTGTTTTGATTTGCATTTCCCTGATGGCTAAGGATGTTGAGCACTTTCTCAAGTGTCTCTCAGCCATTTTAGACTCCTCTATTGAGAATTCTCTATTTAGTTCAATCCCCCACTTTTTAATTGGATCCTTTGGTGCTTCAGAGACTTGCTTCTTGAGTTCTTTGTAAATTTTAGAGATCTGCCTTCTGTCAGATGTGGGGTTAGTGAATATCTTTTCCCATTCTGTGGGCTGCCTTTTTGTCTTGTTGACTGTGTCCTTTGCCTTGCAGAAGCTTCTCAGTTTCAGGAGGTTCCATGTATTAATTGTTGACCTCAGTGTCTGTGCTGCTGGTGCTATGTTAAGTGGTCTCCTGTACCAATTCATTCAAGAGTACCTCCCACTTTCTCTTCTAAGAGGTTCAGTGTGACTGGATTTATGTTAAGGTCATGGCGATAGACATGGATCTGTCCACATTCTTCTACATCCAGCATCCAGTTATCACAGCACCATTTGTTGAAGATGCCTTCTTTTTTCCATTGTATATTTTTAGCTTCTTTGTTGAAGATCAGATGTTCATACGTGTATGGGTTAATATCTGGGTGTTCAGTTCGATTCCATTGGTTTACCTGTCTATTTTTGTGCCAATACCAAACTGTTTTCAGGACTATTGCTATACAATAGAGCTTGAAATCAGAGATTGTGATTCCTCCGGACGTTGCTTTGTTGAGTAGGGTTGTTTTGGCTATCCTGGGTCTTTTGTTTTTCCATATAAAGTTGAGAAGTGTTTCAAGGTCTGTGAAGAATTGTGCTGGAACTTTAATGGGGATTGCATTGAATCTGTAGATTGCTTTTGGCAAGATTGCCATTTTACTACATTTGTTTTTTGAATCATGTTAAATTTCCCTCTTAATTTCTTCCTTGACTGATTAGTTGTTTGTGTATGTTAAATTTCTATGTTTTTATCTGGTTTCTCTTGTTATTGACTTATAGTTTTATTATATTGTGATTGAGTAAGTTACTGATGTCTTCCTTATTTTAATTTGTAAAGATTTGTTTTGTGGCTTACTATATGATCTGTTGTGGAGTGTTCCATGTGTCATTGAAAAGTACATAGATTTTGCATCTCTTGGGTGACATGTTCTATAGATGTCTTTTAGGCCCATTGATTATCAGGCAGAGGCTAACTCTTGAGACTCTATATTGGCTTTTTTGTCTCTGTGAGTCGTAAGCTGATCTATGATTGCTTTATGTGTTTGTTTGATAACCATATGTTTCTGATTGTTTTTCTCTTTCTACAGATGATTCCCTTACCATTATAGAATGACTTTCCATGCTTCTTTTTACTGTTTCTCATTAAAATTACCTCTTCTGATATAAACATAGGTGCTAAAATAACTCCTTTTTAGAATCTATTTGTGTGACACACCCATTTCTTCCTCTTAACTTTTAGTATCTATGTGTCCTTGGTGGTAATCATCATATAATTGAGCCTATCCATTTTTGTTGCATGTTTTAGCATATATGTATGTATGTACACATGTATGCACACATATGCATGTGTGGTAGGATGCGCATGTGCATTCCACATTGTGCATATGATGATCAGATGACAACTTACAAGTTCTGGCTCTCTTCTTCCACCAGGTAGGACCCAGGGATTGAACTCAGGCTGTTCAGCTCAATGACAATGCCTTTTCCCACTGAGCCATCTTTCAAGTCTTAATTGTGCCTTTTTTAAAAAGTCCATTGTTGGGGCTGAAGAGTTGCCCCAGCAATTCAGAGTACTTCTTGCTCTTGCAAAGAACTCAATTCAATTCTGAGATAGCTTACAACCATCTGTAACTCCAATTCCAGGGAATCTAATGTTCTTTTCTGACCTCTGTAGGTACCAGGCACACATGCAGGTGCATATACACATATACAGATAAAACACTTGTACACACAAAAAAATAAATTCCGTTGTTGCTTTTTACTTGGAGAATGTAATTGGTTAAATTTAATGTCATTATTCATGACATGATTTCCTATAGCCATTATATAACTTTTTTGGGAATTTTTTTCCCTTTGTAATTCTTGTCTTATTTTCAAATAAAAATGTATGCTTGTATTCCAACCTTCCCTGCATTTTGAATTTCTTCATATCCTCATTTACTTCTTTTTAATATTTCCTCTCTCTTAACATAGTTATTATTTTATCAGGCTTTCTTCTTTTAATACCATAAAATTTCCATGTCATTCTCTTCTGCTTTGTCTGTGTGAGCCTTGCTGTAAGCCTGCTGTCAGATAACTTGGGATACCTTTGAGTATTGTTTGTTTCTTTATCTGGTTTCTGTAAGAATCCTGTCTTTAAGCTTGAAAGCTTGCTTACATGTTATGTTATATGTAGTTGATGTGAATTTGACTCATGATCTCTGACCTTTATTTAGCTATTTGAATTTGTTTCTGGGTTTAGAGGTTTTCTGTTATTGTCTTTGAATAAACTTTCTACTGCCTTGGCTTCTCAAGTCTGTTTTATTCTGGTAACCCCAGCAGCTGCTCTTTGAGATGTCTCAAGTTCATCTTCCTCCTTTGCTCACTCCTGGGACTGTGTCTTCACATAGCCTGTCTTTGAACTTACCTGTTTCGCTTCTGATGCTTGTGACACACTTTTCATGTCGTTTAGCATGCTTTCCAGCTCAAGGACTTGTTTGGATTTTGTTACTTTATTCCCTCTGCTTATTTGCTTTACACATTCTTACAGGTTTCTTTCTGTTTACTTGAATTGGAATTCTCAGAAAATATCAGTTTTAAGTTTGCCATGGGTTCATAAACAGCAGTTGCTTGATTTCTGGCACCATATTGTGTGCATGTGGTGAGAAAATAGGTCTCTGAAATTTGATGTTGTTTCTTGGAATAGCATGAATGTCTATGCTCTTAACCATTAGATAAAATCTATTCCCTGTGAAATGGATAGCACTGGAAGAAACCATCCTGAGTGAGGTAACCCAGTCGCAAAAAGACAAACATGGTATGTACTCACTCATATATGGATTTTAAATATGGATCAGGATAGTGCCAGTCTGCACTTCCACAGATAGAGAGTCTGGGAAACAGGAAAGAACCTAAAAGATATGCATATATGCATAGTACCCAAGAGAAGAGGATGGAGACAAGATCCTCTGAATGGATGGGGAACAGGGCTAGGGGGGGGGTAGTGGGACCTGGGAAGAATAGAGGGGGTAAAGAGGAAGGGAGTTGGTCATGGGGGAACAGGAAGTTGAGGGGGTGGGGGTAAAATAGGGGGAAGAGGGAATCATAGGATCGAAGACAGATCAGGCACCAGAGTGACCTCGAGTGATCTAAAGGTATAACATCAATTGGCAAGCTAAGCAATAGTGGAAGGACCACCTCGAATGCCCATTCCTGATAATGAACTTGATGTCTATAACTATCCGGGAGCCTTCATCCTGGGACTGATGGAAGCAGAGGCAAACACACAACTAAGCACTGAACTGAACCCAAGGAACCCAGTGACAGAGAGAGAGGAGTGATGAGCAAATTGGCAAAGAATGGGCTGGCAAAACCAGCAGAGACAGCTGATCTGAACAGGGGAGTGCTCTTGGACCCCAGACCGACAGTGGGGAGGCCAGAATGGGACTGATCTGGACCCCCCAAATGTGAGTGTCAGTGAGAAGGCCTGGACAACCTATGGGGCTCTGAGCTGTGGATCAGTGTCTATCCCTGGTATACAATCTGTCTTCATGTGCCTATAGCACAAAGAGAGATGCTCTCTCAGCCTGGACTCTTAGGGGAGTGCCTTGACCCTACCAAGAGTAAAATGATAGACTCTAGACATCCCCTATGTGGAAGGATTTGGCAATAGGGTGGGAGGGAGGGTGGAAGGGGAGTGCGGGAGGAGGGGAGGGAGAGGGAACTGGGATTGACATGTAAAACAAGCTATTTAAAATTTTAAAAAAAAGTATAATGTAAAAAAAAAAAAGAATTATGCATATGGCTGGGCAGTGGTGGCGCATGCCTTTAATCCCAGGAGGCAGAGGCAGGCGGATCACTGTGAGTTCGAGGCCGGACTAGACCGACAGCCTCCAAAATAATACAGAGAAACCCTGTCTCGTAAAAAACCAATATATATATATATATATATATACATATATATATGTGCATATGTATATAGTTACATTTTTTTAAGTTATTGCCCTAGTTAAATTATTTTGGGAAGCTTCCGTCATTGTACAACTATGTTTCTGAGAATTACAGACTATTACCACCCATGTCTTTTATCTACAAGATTAGGTCTTAAGTGTGTTTGTTCTTACTTTTCCTTCTCCTAGAGTATACTTGATATTTGCTGTCTTTGTATGTAGTTTCATATCAAACCCAAATCTTTTTCGAAGGCTACAAGGGGAATTGTAGTAAGACATCCACCCTGCCTGTGCCAGTAGCACTGACCACACCCAATGGGCGTGGTCACAGGTGCGGACATGACAGAGGATAGGACTGGGTCTGGGGTCCTAGTCCCCAATGCTCTCTCTTGCTTCTGGTTGGGTCACAGAGGGCAAGGGTGAATCCTTGGAACTGGAACTTGAGGCAGTCACCAGCTTCTTGTGTAAGGGCATTCTCCCGGAATAAACTTCACTTAACCTGTAAAAAAAAAAAAAAAAAAAAGAAAACCTTCCTGTACAAAAATACTCAGAAATACACAATGTGCACCTTAATATCTCATCAAGATTTATTTGCTCTCAATCTCAATCCCCATCTCCATTCTGATTTCCCTGTCAAAGACAGTGGATGTCCTTGCACAATCTATATTCAAAGTCCTATGAGGGGGTAAACAGCAGTTTACAACTTGTACATTAGGTTGAGTGGGACTAAAGGACTGCCCTTTTCTGTGTGTCCTGTTTTCTGATAAATAATGGTCTCAATTGCATTAAAAGTTCATGAGTAACTTCTTTTTGTTTTTCCTTTTTCTTATTTAAATAAGAAAAAGCTTGTTTTACATTTCAATACTAGTTCCCTCTCCTCCCCTCCTTCCCCTCCCACTGCCAATCCCTTATCCATTCCCCTTTCTGCTACCCAGGGAGGGTGAGACATTCCTTGGGGGATCTTCAAAGTATGTCATATCATTTGGAACAGGGCCTAGGCTGAGAGAGTATCCCTCTATATGCAATGGGCTCCCAAAGTCCATTTGTGTACTAGGGATAAATACGGATCCACTTCCAGAGGTCCCATAGATTAACTAGACTTCCAAACTGACATCCATGTTCAGGGAGTCTGGAACAGTTCTATGTTCCTTTCCTTGCAGTCTGGGTTTCATGAGCTTCCCCTTGTTCAGGTCAGCTGTTCCTGTGAGTTTCTCCAGCCTGGTCTTGACCCCTTTGCTCATCACTCCTCCCTCTACCTCTCCAACTGGATTCAAGGAGTTCAGCTCAGTGTTTAACTGTGGGTGTTTGCTTCTGCTTCCATCAGCTACGGGATGAAAGCTCTAAGATGGCAGCCTCTGAATTATTGCTTAGATTCTTAGTTGGGGTCAACCCTGTAGATCTCTGGACATTTCCTTAGTGCCATATTTCTCTTTAAACTTATAAAGGCTCCCTCTATTATCATATCTCTTTTCTTGCTCTCCTATATTCTTCCCTGACTCAATCTTCCTGCTCTTTCATATCCTCCTCTTTTCCCTCCTCTTATCCCCTTCTCCTTCTCCTAAATCCCTATCTCCTCTCTCCATGCTCCCAATTAGCTCAGGAGATCTTGTCCTTTTCTCCTTCTCCGGGGGACAATGGACCCTAAGAGGGACATACATGAGTAACTTTGTTGATTTCATAATTAGAGAACAAAATGATTGACTTACAATTTACCATTAATACAATTTATGGTAAAGGTGATTTCTATTATTCTAAATACCACTGGCAGTGATGGCTCATGCTAGAGGGATGTGCAGAATTGGTGTCAGGAAGATCATGAGTTCAAGTCTAGCCTGAATTAAGTAAATAAACTAATGCTACCATAAAAAAAAAAATCTATTCCCTGTCATCTGTTCCTCCCTTCCAGGACTTCTTTTTTTAAATTTTTTTTATTTTATTTAAATTACAAGCAAGCTTGCTTCACATGTCAATCAATCCCAGCTCCCTCTCCCTCCCCTCCTCTTCTGCACCCCTCCACCCCCCAACCCCCCACCCAATCCCCACACTGTTCCCCAGGGAGGGTGGGGCCCTCCATGGGGGATATCCAGAGTCTGTCATTTCATTCAGGACAGGATCTAGGCCCTCCCCTATGTGTCCAGGCAGAGAGAGCCTCCCCTCATTATGGAATGGGCACCCAAAGTCCATTTGTGTGCCAGGGATAAATACTGATCTACTATCCAGAGCCCCATAAATTGCCTTGGTCTCCTCACTGACACCCACATTCAGGGGGTCTGGATCAGTCCCATGCTGGCCTCCCAGCTATCAGTCTAGGGTCCAAGATCTCACCATTGTTCAGGTCAGCTGTTTCTCTGGGTTTCACCAGCCCAGTCTTGACCCATTTGCTTATCACTCTTCCCTCTCTGCCACCGGGTTTCAGGAGTTCAGTTCAGTGTTTAGCTGTGAGTGTCTACCTCTGCTTCCATCAGTCACTGGATAAAGGTTCTAGGATGGCATATAAGGTAGTTGTCAAACTCATTATCAGGGAGGGGCATTTAAGGTAGTCTCTTCACGTTTAGTTTGCCAGTTGGTGTCATCCTTGTAGATCTCTGGAAATCTCACTAGTGCCAGATCTCTCCTCAAACCTAAAATGATTCCCTCTATTATGGTATCTTTTTTTTTCTGTAACCTTATGGTCACTATTACTATGTCACCACTAGATGGTGCCCTAAGTACAAGTTCGCAATGTGTCCATACCTGTTGTGCCTTCATTATTTCTGCTGTAGAAACCAAACCCAAAGCCAAGAATGCCCTAATTGTGAACTTGCTATGTTGTTTAAGATGGCGTGCATGAGTGTCTTAAAAGCATAATTTACCATTTTGAACCTTTATAGGAGCCAAGGCAGACACAGATGTTCATTTTTATTCATTTCCTTTGTTTAGGCTTGGCAGGATTTTACTTGGTATTTAGGAATGATTGAGCCTAAACTAGGAATAAAAGTTGTATCTGTTCGCTGTTTCTCCTCCTCTCAAGTAGACATTGATTCTTTCTGCTATTATGCTATTATGTATGAGACTGGCAGTCACCTGATCACCTACACCATAATACTAGATTATACCTGAATCCAGAGCCTGTTGAGATCATTGTGTGACTAAAACCCAATCTGAGACTTCTGTAGCCAACCACAGGTGATTCTGTCTCCTTGGAGTCTTCGGTCTCATTATGCCAACAGGCAGGTTCAGAGGCTCTGTCTGTAGATATTAGCCTGGGGCCAAGGACTGTTTGGATCGATCCACTGATGCTGGATTTCACTCACTTAGCACGGATCTGTGCTTCATTTAATTCTCTGCCCTCCAGAAGGTAGAACCTTTCTTTGTCCTACTGCATAAAACCCAGGAAAGGACAATAGAGCAATCTGCTGACTGCCAAGGCATACATAGTCCAAAGGGTCTATTTGGGACACCAGCCATGGAACTCTGTTCAGTGCTGTGTTTCACTGTGGGTTTACATGGTGTAGGTTCTTGCTTTGAGGTCTAGAGTGAATTCCCTTTATTCCACAAGGGGAATATGTTTCCTCAGATGCTGTGCTGCTTGTGTTTAGGGAAACTGAGACACAAACAACTTTGTCTTTTGCTTTCTTCAGTGTATCTTTGTGATTATTACCCTAAAAGCAAGTGCTGTGATCTCTCACCAATGTCCTTCACTCTGGGGAGGTCAGTTCTCACAGGAATGTGTGCCTGACTGGTGTGTGGGTGGGAAGACTACCATTGGAGGCTTTACCCACATTTTGCTCTGCATTCCTGGCATGGTTCATCCCAGACAGCACTCTCACCTAGTGATGTATTCTCCTCTCAAGAGTCCCACCCTGAAACATCTTCACACTCAAGACTAGGTTTCAGTGTCTGGTTTTTGAGGGGATGTAGCCTTTTAATTTGTAACAAGTCTCTTAAAATTAAGTACTTGTGTGCTATTAAAGTGGTAATGATGTGATTAAGTATTTTCTTGTGTGTGCTATTAAAGTGGTAATGATGGGATTAAAAGCATGAACCGGTGTCTGTGATCAAGCAATATTACTGGAGTTTTAGGGCAACTGACTGATCTGAGGGTAAGTGGTGAAAGCAGTGAGAGGAGATGTAATCGATGAAGCACATTGGGAAGAAAAGATAAATGAGTTCAGTGGCCCAAAGAGTGGAAAGAGAGAAAGAATTAGGGAAGTGGAAGACATATACGTAAATAAGCAATGCAATCTCGGGCAAGCTGTAGTCTTGTTAATCACTGTTTCATTTCTGCCCCTGTGAGGTGATTTAGAAAGTCTTCATGTGAGTAGCATAGTTCCCATGGGGTGATTTCTTCTGCTTTGGTGGGTGGAGGTAGGATTTCACATTATCATAAAAAGTTGTTCTTACTTGAATGGTAGTCTGTTGGCTCCCAGTTATTCAGGGTGCTTTGGCTTCTTATCCTATTAGAAAGGTGCTTATTGAGATTCTTTTGTTCCTATAGTGCCAGATAACATTGTCTTTAGGACAGTGACTAAATACCAGGTGTTTTACCCAACTTTTAATTACCCTGTGAACTGAATAAGAGTTCATATTCTTTAGCAAAATCATTTTCTTAGTGCTGGCTATGCTGTGTATTCATAGCTATCATTATCTTTTATTCAAGTTTACAATTCTGAAGATAATGTATAGTGCAAGGCTATAAATATTACTAGCATACTCAAGAGTTTTCACTTGCTGAATGGCTTCAAGATGCTGTGTATTTTCATTTAATTTAGTTTTCTTACCCCTCTGCTTGGCCATCATGTCTCATTTCTTTTGTACCAGGAGCATGTGGATAGCAGCAATTTCCCTCTCATATAATGGATATGTTATTCTAATCTCCTGAGATTTTGGAAACTGACAACTGAACTTATTTGAATTGTATATTTTTTAAATGAATTCCAAATTAATTCCTCAAGGGTTTTCATCCTGGTAATAATATTCTGATGCTTTCTGCATGGAACTTGTAACATTTTTAATGAACAAACCTGCTTCCCTTATTGCCCCTCTCTGCTTCATTCAAAGAGATGGCATTTCATGTATACCTGATTTTCTGATATTATGTTTGTTAGCATAATGGTTTTGTGTGTAGAAAATTAAATCTTCAGTTCCTAATGCAATAATCTAACTTTCCCAGTGGAGTTTCTAGTAGCATATTAACATGTTTAATCTTTGGCCATGAAGGTTATGATAATAAAGTGTTAGCCACACCATGCTGGCACACCCCTTTAAATCCCAGCACTCAAGAGGCAGAGGCAGGCCGATCTCTGTGAGTTAGAAGCCAGCCTGGTCTACAAAGTGAGTTCCAGGACAGGCTCCAAAACTATACAGAGAAATCCTGTCTTGAAAAGAAAAATTCCTTTGTCTTCCATTTCTTGACTGCTATCAGATTTACTGAGTTCTTTTCTTCTGTTACTTTCCTGATGATTTATGAGGACCCTCTGCTTATTCTTGCTCAGCCAAGTCAGTTAGCAGCCTTGGTGTTCTGTCCTCTCTGCACTTTGACCAGAGCTTCTGGGTCTGCTAACTGACCATTTGGAGGCTCACATGCTGCTGTCAGTGTGGGTGATGATATGCAAACTGTTAGAAAGTGTGCCCTTACTTACATGATGTTTTCAGACTTTCAGTAGTGTTAACTTTCTAAGTGTTTAAAGAGTTTTTTTCTTTTTGGCTCATGTAAGAATCTGTCAAAACTCCTTAAGACGTTTATCATTGATGTGTCTCGAGAGTGCTTCCTTATGTCAGAGTATTCAAGTTAGGGAGATGACATGGAAATTCCTTGTCACAGTCTATTCATTCATCAGTGCTCTGGGGAATGTACAGTACTGTTTTTGAAAGTACTGCTTAAGGCTTTCCTGGTGCGCCAGGAAAATGTTTGTTGAGATTCTCTATGGCTTTTGCGTGGATGTTTTATAAGTTAAACACTGATATGTCAGAGATTAACATTAGCACAGAAACAAGCCCAGGTACTCAATTATTTGATCATTTGAAGAGGCTGATTGATCATGACACTGGTTCTTGTGTAAAAGCATGGACCCCTCCTGATACAGTATCAGCTGTGTTTTAAGAAGTGTACATTTCATAATAATAGTAATAATCATACCTTGACAGGGTTACCGGCATACTGTTATGTGAAGTTATAACTTCACTGGGATGCTTTGGCATACATTTTAAATTGAGCAATGTTCTGAGTTCTAACATCAGCTTTTAAACTGTTAGCTTCATTTTCAAAGGAAGTTAAATTCAAGTAAAAAAGTATACAAATGTACAAGTCTCATCTTAAACATGTGAATCTTTGTATTTGTGAAAATAAACCTGCCACTTGTTAACATAATTTTACTCTCACACACACCCAAATAGTGGCCCTGTTTTGCATTTTGCATATCTCTTTATAGTCAGTCAGCCTTGCTGCACACAGCTGACTCTGATAGCTCCCTCAAACGTCTTCTCTGGTATCATATATTATATAAATAAGCTTTAAGCTTATAAGAAAATGAGAGTTTAAAAACGGGAAGGTGCTGCATTAGAGCTTTTGTTAAAATGATGGGATTTTTGAGGCCTCCTCACTGAGTCTTATGACCACACTTTGAAAATCACTGCATCAAAGCTCAAAAGGTGTTGCCACTCATTCTGTGCACATGACCCTGTAGTAGTAATACACCCCTTCAAATTAGCAGTTCAAATCTTACTAAGAAGACATTTCAGATTTTTTTCAGAATGTATTTTCTTGGTTTTTGTGTATATGAGTTCTCAGATTTTGAGGGGTTTGTATTATATTTATTTATTCATTCAATGTTTTATATCCCCATCCGTATTATTATTAATAATTTTACAGCCAGGCAGTGGTGGCGCACGCCTTTAATCCCAGCACTCGGGAGGCAAAGGCAGGCGAATCTCTGTGAGTTCAAGGTCGGGCTGGATTGACAGTGTGCAAAACAATACAGAGAAACCCTGTCTCGTAAAAACCAAAAAAAAAAAAAAAAACAATAGTAATAATAATTTTACATTTTGGTAGGAAAGGCCACAAATCCTCTCATTTGACCCAGACATTTTACAGTTTTGTTAGATCACCTGCCTTGTTTTTGTCCTTAAGTGCTTTTCCAATTTACTTGGCGTGTATGGAATTAAAAGAGGCATGGCATCATGAGGAAGGAGATGGAGATAGGAGATCCTAAGTTAGTGGGTCAACATCATGCATTAAATTCTGGATGATTAACATACTACTAGGTGAGAGTTTACTTCTCCACTTTGTCATCAATAATCCTATCCTGGACACTGCCTGGAGTAGAAGGGACAGGACAGCAGAGCAAGGGACAGATGTACTGGCCTACAGAAAAGGGCCTGGCTCACCCATAAGATTGGGAAAAGGCAAATGCAACTGCACAGGGTAGCTGTGGAAGCTGTTTTTGTTTTGTTTTGTTTTCACTTTTTCAATAAAACAGGAAGAAGGAAATGAGCTGAGAATGAAGATGAGTACATTGTACCTCACTTCTCTTGCCCCTCCCCTTTCTCTCCGCCTACAGCCTCCGCACATACCCATCATCATACTTCTAAACTACTGGACAGCATTTCTGCAGTTGCCTCCTCCTTGTATTGTTGTCATTTGTTTTCCAGGATACGGTGCCTTTAGACTTTTCCTGCTACCTAACTTCCCAGTCACATTCAGTCTCCTGCTTCCACTCATCTCCCAGTCTGTACACATTAGAATATATCTCAGATCTTACCTTGGATTTTTATCTTCTAGTTGTGCTGTTCCTCCGGTAACTTGTCATCCATCTAAATACTCTGTCTGTAAAGATGACCCTGAATACAAATAAAATAATACATGATACCATCCTCCTCTCTAGTGACCCCACTCCGGTTGTCATCATTTATAAGTTTTGTTAACACTGGAGGCTTACTGAGTTCAGAACTTAGCTCCTGATCTCTACCCATGTCCAGTCTTTTTTCATTTCAGCAAGCCTTACTCCATCTTTCCAGTTAAATATGCCTAAACTGGGGTATTCGCCCTTAATTCCTTTATTTTCTCCCACTCAATATCCAAGCTGTCTGCTTTCCTTCTAAGATAGAACCACTATGACCATGGTCCCAGCCACAAGCCTTTGTCCTGATTTAACATCACAGTAAGTAGCATTCTCAGTGGTCTATGTGTTTACCCTCTTGTCCTACAGTCTCTTAGCACAGCATGGAGAGTGATCCTGTTGATAAGTTAAATTCCTCTTTACTTAAAAACCCACCACCAGAGGCTGGAGAGAGGCAAAGCTCCTAAGACCATCTCTTGCTCTTACAAAGGACTAGGGTTCTGTCCTCTGCACCTGCATGGTGACTTACAACCTGTTTGTATCTCCAGTTCTAGGAAAGCCAACACACTTTTCTGACCTCTACAAGTAACAAGTCCAGACACACATGGCACACATACGTAAAAGCAGGCAGAACACACACACATAAAACAAGAAATAAAAACCTAAAAAAGAGACTGAACAACAACAACAAAAGAGAACAAGAACTTCCAGTAACTTACGTATCTCAAAGAGTTAGATACTGCCTACTGCCTCCTCATGTCTCTTGTTGCATCCTTTAGTGTTTTCTCCCTCTCTTCAGCTGACACCACATTGGCTTCCTCCGTTGTTCCTTGAACTCATCATTCCTTATTACTGGTTCTTGTTCCTTTTGCCTTAAATGTCAATTCCTACTATTTTGTGTGGCCTCTTGTCTTGTCTCCTTCACGCTTCAATGTCTAGTTAATTTTAATGGCATTTTTTAAACCTTGAATCCTGATGTCACATTGCTACGCCCTCCCTCCCTCCCTCCCTTCGTTCCTCCTCCTCCCCCTCTCTTTCCCTTCCCCTCTCTTTCCTCTTTCCTTCTCTCTCCGTCTCTTTCCCTCTCTTTGTTTATTTGAGTCAGCAATTCTGTGTATAGTCTTGGTTGTCCTGAAACTAACTCTGTAGATCAGGACCTTGAACTTACAGAGCTCCACCTGCCAGTGCCTCTCCTGTGCTAGGATTAAAGCCTAAAGCCTATGCCACTGCTGCCTGGGTAGCAAATTGGTCTTTAAAAGTATTCAAAAGTGGGGCTGCAGAGATGGCCCATACTGCCCTTGCAAAGAACCCAAGTTCCATTCCTAGTACCCATGTCAGGTGGCTCACATATGCGTGCTAACACCAACTCCAGGGAATGTAATGCCTGTGGCTCTGGGGCACCTACAGTTTTGTGCATGTAACCCCACAGAAACACATATTTAAAAATAAGTATAAAAAGTAAATACTTAGAAGTTACAGTGCTTAACTACTGCTTCAGGATAACCCTTAACTCATTTATAAGCAAAAATTAGAATGTTTCTCTTAAAATTGAAGAATTAGATTTATATATTGTGTAATTTGAGACTAGCATTTGTTAAGTATTTTCACATATTTATGAATCTATATGTAAGTTAACTTAAAAAATTAACTCAGACATTTTTCTCCTTTAATCATCAGGGCTGCACTATCTCTGGTACAGGTGTTGCACTCAATACTGTTTACATGAAACTCTCTCTCTCTCTCTCTCTGTGTGTGTGTGTGTCTTTCTCTCTTTCTCCCCCCCCCCTTGCCCTCTCCTCCTCTCCCCCTCTGTCCTGCTTTCTGTCTAGGCTTGGCCTCTTGTCACAGACCTCTTAGTGTTGGATCATAGGATATGCCATTGCACCTAGAAAAGTGACTGTTTTTACCCCTCTTTTATTTCTTCATCATTTAAATCTTGAATAAAATTTCTCTGTACAAACCTTGGTTTCTCATAGTTTAATGGCTATAACTAGGTAGTCATTTATTTGGTTGGTTTGTACATGAACTAACTTTTTTTGGGATTCCAAAGCTTGCATCGAGCCTATTGCACGGTTTCAATGAGTGGTGTTGGAACGTAGTCTTCATTGGCAGACATAGGCAGACATATTATTTACAGGGCTTTTAACTGATACAGTGGTTCTCACTCTGTGAGCAGACTCAGAACTGGGTTTCAGGGTGACAGTACAGCCTGGTTTATTTTTCCTGGATTGTGTTTAGTGTTCTGGGATTCAGAGCGTTTTACTGGGTTGTAGAAAAATTTCATCAGCGTGTAGGGAGTGAATCCAGGTCAGAAGTAAGTAAGAAATGTTTGACTTCTCCAGTTTAGAAAAACCTAATTGCCCTATTTCTGGGTATCACCAGAAGGTACTGTTGGACTGTAAAATTGACCACGTAGACACCAAAGATTATTTCTTATGACCATTCTGTCATAGAGTTTAAAGAAAACTGGCAAAGTTATTTTCCAACTACCTTTGATTTTCTCCCACCTTTGTGTGTGTGTGTGTGTGTGTGTGTGTGTTTAATTTTTAATTTACTTACCAACAAAATCATAAATGAATGAATAAAATGCCTATTTTGTGAAAGAGAAACAGTGCTTTGGGAGTAGCCTTTCTAGACTTGTTTATTAAAAACTGGAAATATGGTCAAATTAATGTTTTCCAATCTAGTTGAGACTAGTTTGCTTTTATGTTTGTTTTCTTTAAGAAATTTAAAGTCAATTTAAAAAGAGGGTAACTTGGTTTTGCCTGATTATTACCAAACTATTAGGGAATTTCACACATCTGCTTCAGAATGCAGTTCCTCATAGACTACTGCATTGTTCAGTTTTAATAGGCCTCATTTATCCTGTAAATAAACCTGCATTTCTTGCTTGATCAAGTGAGCAACCAATAGGGGTCAGATGTGGCAAACACTTTAACAAAAAGCACATGTCTCCTTCAGGCTGGGCTAGAACCATATCGAGATGCTTGAAGTTATTAATGGCAGTAAAATTTATGCTTCCTCCTGTTTTCCCAATTAAATCAAGGAACCTTTTTTCCTAAGATTCCTCTATCACCAGCTGGTTCTAATACTGTGTGTGTGTGAATATTGCCTGGGGTGTCTCTATCCTACATGGTGAAACTTGGTCAAAGCACAGTAAGTGTGTAGTGTGGATTTTGAGCTAAAAAGCAGTTCTTGTTAAGGGCTTTATTTTGGTCTTTATCATTTGTATCTGAAGTTAGCCTTATTGTAAGGTTTATTACAAACAAGTTGCTACAGTATTTGGGGGCATAATAAAAATCTGTAAACAAGGTAATAAACTAATTGAAGACATGTCGAAAATAAACTAGTTGAACATACTTAAGAGAATGGAAATCTATCAGTTTTGAATATTAGAGTACTTGGAATGGTCATTATTATATAATTTGCCTAAATTAATGTCTAGCTTATTGTTAGATTTTCAATTTTGTTTCCCATTTTGATAAGTAACTGAACACAGCAGTTTATCACAAAACCCTTGCTAAACATCCGTACTGATAGTTTCAGTTGTCCCTCTTAACTCTTGCTTTAAAAGCGTTGTGTTGTATCTGTTCAAGTCCTCATATATCTGCTGTCAATAAATGTATTATAAAATAAACGACCATTCAATAGAATTGCAGTCTTAAAAATTAGGTTGTCCAAATTCCAATTTAAACCAAACATATAATATATAGTACATATATATATATATCAAGCATAAAATTATATGGAAATATAAAGATATTTTTAGACTGAGGATGTGCTTATCCAGCATGCCTAAGGTCTTAGAGTCAATCCCCTATACCAGAAAAATAGTTTTTCATAATAATCTTAAACGCATTTTAATATATTTTGATATAGATGATAAATGTATTCAATAATTGCTGCAGATAGCTTCTGATAGGTAGGTTTATCCTGTGGCATTTTCTTTATACTGTATTATTAGTAGGTATTAAGAACTCTAATGCTAGCCAGGCGGTGGTGGCGCACGTCTTTAATCCCAGCACTCGGGAGGCAGAGGCAGGCGGATCCTCTGTGAGTTTGAGGCCAGGCTGGACCGAAAGCCTCCAAAACAATACAGAGAAACCCTGTCTCGTAAAACCAAAAAAAAAAAAAAAAAAAAAAGAACTCTAATGCTGTTTTAGTCTTAGTTTAAGTGCAAAATGCTGTATTCATAGAGTGTTTTCAAGATAAAATATTGCCTAATGCTGCACTATTCTAAATACAGGTGCTCCAGTCGTATTTTTTCTTTGCTTGGAGTGCTCTACTTTGAACAAAGATGGCATGGGGTATAGAAGGGAATGAGAGTCTGACTAATAATGTGGCTCATTATGTGTGTTCTCAGTCTGTTCTGTGATGTTGAACTGGGTCTATAACAAGAGCAGAAATTTGGGGTTGTATTCTAATGTCCTAAACTCATGTTTCTGCTTGAGTGATCTGTGAATGGAAAATCTCCAATGTCTTACAAAATTAGTGACTGAGTCCTGTTTCTACTGACCACTTCAAAGATGAACAAATGAAGACATTTTAAAACCCAAAACTGATCAGCAGGCATTTTATCCTGTAATTGGCAGAAAATCAATTGTGAGAGCGGCCCAGAAATGCTTTTCTTCTGCTTCAGCTGCTCTAGCTGAGCTACAGCTGTAAATTGCTTTAAAAAGAAAGGGGGTGGGGCAATACTTCTTATAAACTCTGGAGTGGACTTTGTAAGTGCAGCAATTCCCCCAAAATCAGTTACTGGAGTTAATGACCAGTTTGTTAAGGTATTAACACTCTTCAGCTGGGAATGACCAATTTTGGGCAGAATGACTGCTCAGATGCTAAGATGATTCAGTAATATATTCAAATAATGATCCAGCTCGTTAACAGTGAATTCCTGAGGAAATCCTATCAAAGTGCTTATGCCCTCTGCATTAATAGCCAGTGAGCTCATCATGATTCATGTTTGTAACCATAAATGCCAAAGGAATCATAATAACTGGGCTATTTTTTCAAACCTACCCTTATTACTTGAACAGATTTGGCTAACTCACATCCCATTATTTAAGTCTACTTCTCAAAATATTCCATCTGTCCACTGCTCTGCACAAAATTTGCAGAACCCAGAGTGCCATGCCAGCAGACCAATGGCTGGCAGCCTGTTTTTGCTTGTGATGCCATTAGAGAAAACTGTTATAAATAACATTTACAGGAGGGCTGTAGTAGGTTGGGCAGAGTTTATAGCTCACGAATTCTGATGAGAAAATCATATCATCAGGCCCATGTTTCTTGTAGGAAATAACTGAAAGAACAAGAGATGGTGGCCTTTATAGAGTATGAGAGTTCCCCTGCGGCCTAATTTAAAAGATGTAGTAGTTCATTCCCTTGGGGTGGGAGCCAGGCTAAGATATACCTGCCTTCTGAGAAAGCAAAATTGAAAACGTTTTGCCTTTGCACATGTATACCATAAAAACTTATGTAAACATGATTTTCTCTGGCAGGTAAGCATAATTAAATGTCAAAATATAAAATATGATTATTAAAATCTATGAATTATAGATTGTTTTGACCTCAAATTATTGGCATTGGGAATGCCTGCTTTAATATTATTTGGAAGGTGCCTACTGTCCCCAAGCTCAAGGTTCCCCATGTGAAGGCTGATAAGCTCATTGAAGACTATTCATAACATTCAGTGCTGTGTCATCTGTCTAAAATATGGCTCTTTTGCATAGTAAATATTTAATATGTGATTACTATTAGTCACTTGTTATTAATTACCTTGTTATACATACTAATATTAGCATCAAACTGAGTCACTTACACAAGCTGGGCAAGCCCTCTACACTGAGTGAAGTCCCTAGTCCAGAATATTATTACCTCAGAACTCCAGAGACATTGCCCAGACTATAATTAATTTATGGCTCTTAGTTTCTGATGAACTTTATTTTTTATGTTACTGATGCTATTCTACTTGTT